AGAAGCTTTCGCTTAACAGGCTTCCGTGTCTAGTAGCAGGGGATCACCAAATCCTCCAGGCAGGAACCTAGGTATGTTAACAATAAAAGAGGAAAATAAATTGGTAAATCATAGAGCGATGCTGTCCTTGGTCCTTAAGAATAGGTCAAGTTGCCTCTTGAAGGACTCCTGAGAAGTCGCTTGGACTAGCTCGGCGGGCAGCGAGTTCCAGCTTTTGACAACTCTTAAGGAGTAGAAGTTGTGTCTACATTCCGTCTTGCTATGTTGTGTTTCCAGTTTCTGGGTGTTACCCCTTAGGTTATTGTTCGAACTAAGCTTAAGTAGGTGTTTAAGAGGATGTCCAGAAGTGTTAAGAATACTATAAGCCATTAATAAATCACCTCTAAGACGCCTATATTCTAGTGGGTAAAGGTCTAGTGAACGGAGGCGTTCTTCGTAAGGCTTAGATTTGAGTCCTCGAACTGATTTCGTGGCTCGCCGTTGGATACGCTAAAAAGTGACCTTATCCTTTTGGAGTGAGGGGGGAGTACTATGTTTCCGTACTCTAAATGGGGACGGATGAAACTATTGAAGATTGTGTGGAAAGTTCTTCCGTCAAACTGACCAAAAATGCGCCTCAACGTTACCAGTGCAAGGTTTGCTCGGAAGGCATTTTTGTCACAGTTAGCGTAAGACTTTAAGTCATGGGGCACCAGGACTCCTAAATCTTTTTCGACTTGGGATACTACTAGAGAGGAGTTTCCTAAGTTGTAACTGTAGTTTGCGACATGTCGCAGATGGACTACTTTACACTTAGAAGTGTTAAAGGTAAGTCCGTTATCGTCTGCCCAACTTTGAAGTCGAGTCAGATCCTCTTGAAGTGCCTGTATATCGTCTTGGTTGCGTATCTCTCTCCAAAGTTTCACGTCGTCGGCAAAAAGTAATAAGTCTGACGTTACCTGTTGAGGAAGATCATTTATGTAGATCAAGAAGAGAAGAGGCCCTAGTACTGAGCCCTGGGGGACCCCACTAGGACATTCCATAGCCTGAGATAAAGTGAAATTAACCCTAACCTTAAAGTGTCGATTTTTTAGGTATGAAGTAAGCCAGTCGATTAGAGGTGGTTTGATACCTAGTCGTTTGAGCTTGTTGATAAGACACAAGTGGTTAACCTTATCAAAGGCTTTTGAGAAATCAAGGTAAATGACATCAACCTTTCCCTTGCGATCGAGGATGCTTGTCCATCTGTCCACCGCAGTCAGCAGGTTGGTTATACAAGAGTAACCCTTCCTGAAACCATGCTGTTGGGGTGAGAAGAATTTTAAGGACAGTAGGTAGTCATTTAAACCGTCGCATATCAGGGACTCCATGAGTTTTGAAGGTAACGACAGAAGAGCTACCGGCCGGTAACTTGAAGGTTCATTGCGTCGACCACCTTTGAAAATTGGTGTGATATGAGCCAACTTCCAATTTTCCGGTAGTTTGCCTCGGCTAAGCGAGTGTGAAAACATCACGCTAAGCGGCGTTGCCAGGATTGAGGCTGCCTCCCTCAGTATGGCAGGATGAACCATATCCGGGCCAGGAGAAGTGTCAAGTCTTAAGTGCTGCAGTTTCCGGAACACCAAGTCAGCGCTTAGGTCCACTTCAGAAAGTCCTGTGGAATTGCAGATGAAACTGTCGTCAATAAAGTTGATATCAGCCGGTTGAAATGTTTGAGAGTAATGGGCCGCCAGAAGGTTAGCGGCGTCGCCATCGTTGTTGGTCGGGCCGTTAAGACCTAGCAGTTGAGAAACTCCTGTTTTGGCTTGACGAAGAGAGGCTGCATAACGGAATAGGCTTCTAGGGTTAGAGGCGAATTTGTCCATAAGCTTTGTTTGGTACTGAAGCCTGTCTTTTCTTATAGCCTTCGTGCATGTGTTCCTGATATGTTTGTATTGCCTATACGCTCCATCGTTATTAGTTCGTTTGTATTCCGCCCAACAGTGCCGTTTGCGGCTTAGGAGGCGAAGGGTACGGTTCTTGATTACTGTAGGTGGCTTGAAGCTTTTGGGAACTGTTTGAGGAACTGAATGGTCTGTAGCACATAAGAGCGTGTGCAGCAAGAAGTCCCAATGACCATCCACATCGATTTGAGGGTGAACATCCCAAGCCACCTGTTGTAGATGGTCATGTAGAGCTCGCACATTCAGCCGTTTAAAATTCCATCGCAAATTATTGTTGGGATACCTTAGCTTAGTTTTGATGACAAAATTGAAGGCTATGACGGCATGATCGCTTTTTCCCAGAGGAGCCAGGATTGAGAGGTTGTCGACTAGGAATTCTTCGTTAGTGAATACACAGTCTAAGCGCGATGGTGTCTGACTGTTTCTCCAACGAGTTGCCGACCTTACATTTTCATATAAGCCCAAGTTATCGATGAGGTTGAAGAACCGAGCTTCAGTTGAGTTGTCGCCTACAGTGTACGTGTGTTCCGCGAAGTTGACTCTAGGGAGATTAAAGTCCCCTAGAATCAGGATGTGTGTGAAACCGAGACGGATAGAGCGGGATAGTCCTTCCAGCATACGACTATCGTACTCGGTGTCGGCAGTTGGCTTCCTGTAAATGACTCCGACTAGACACCTGGAAGTACTAGACAACCTTACAGAGCACCATATGGATTCCTCAAGATTGTTAAACTCGAGGTTGTGAACCTGGTGCACCTCCAAGCAAGAGCCTATGTATATGGCTACTCCGCCCCCAATTCCTATTTTTCTGTCGTTGCGGAACAAAGGCATCCCAGGCAATGCTAACTCTTGGTCCGAGAACTGAGAAGATATCCAGGTTTCAGATATTCCTATCAGATGGGCCTTGTTAGCGTTGCTAAGTTCACGTAGTTCATCCAGTTTGTTTGGTAAACTCGCGGCGTTCATATATAAGCAGTTTATGCTTTCAATTTGGAACGCATGAGCTTCGTCCTGTTTTTCTGTATGAACCTTATGTGAATGGACAGGTAGCCCACCTATATGAGGTTTGCCGAGGTGGTAGGCCCTGTCCTTTACACGTTTTTTTTATCGTTTAGACAGTCCACAAGTGGAATGGTCAGCTCCAGCTTGCCTTTGTTCTTGGTCCTGACTTCGTATGGCCTATCCGGGTGCATGTGGATTCCAGGTGGCAATCGACGTCTATTAGCACGAAATGCTTCCAGAACTGCAGCCGCCATGTGGGAAAATGGGAAGGTTATCTTCATTAGACGGGGTCTAAGATCACCGTCCTTCTTGGCTAGTCTCGTCACATGCTGAGTCAGTATGTGTTTGAGCCTCAAGGACTGTTTGATGAATTTCCATTCCCTGATGTCAGAATTTGATTGAGTAGGGTCCGCATTTTCCGGTATACCTTGGACAATTATGTTTCTTCCGCGGAAGAACTTCTCGCGAGATTCTTTAGGGACGTTTCGTATGATATTGCGCTCAGAGTACGGCATGTCGGGCAATATTCCTACGTTACCATCTGATTTCAGTAAGTGACTTGCTAGCAAGACGTCCTCTACGTCGGTAGCATTCTTAAGTGTTACTCGGAGAAGCCTCGGGTGATTTAGATGCTTAGAATCCTTTCCTCGAGTGAGCCGGGTGACCGTCAAAGGCTCTATTCTAGGAAGTTCGAGCTTTTTGTTCAATTCACCCCACAGCATCCTGTCGTTTTTATCCTGCAGACTGAGAGGAAGGTCAGGATTGTCGACGAGGTTCATGATAATGAGAGAATCGTCACGAACTGTTGTTAATTTACCAGGTTTCACGATGGGTCCAGGTTTAATAACTTGTTGTTTGGAGGTCTGTGGGCGTTTTTGAGTCTTGGGCTCTTTATTGACCGGACGAACAGTCTTGGGGGTAGACTGTGCGACCAAATCACCAGTTATTTTCCGTGCAGCAACACTTGGGTTGCTCGGCTTAGGCGGTGATGCCTGGTTCTTTTGGGCTCTCTTAACGTGGGTCGAATCGCCTGCAGGGTTTTTGGGAACCACTGTTGTGTTCAGCGACCCTGAGCTGGGAGACCCGAGTTTGCCTAGGGAGTCTAGTACCGTCGACGTAATGATGGTACTGAGCCTCGACACGTCGTCGTTAGTGTTGATGGATGCTCCATCGATGACATACCTATCGACATCCCTATTTTTGAGTCCGTTGCGCGCTCTTGTTTGTATATCGGTTTTTTTACTGTCGTATTCCAAGTTAACTGACAGCTTGTTTCGAAGACCTGTCAGTAGGACAATGATGTTACTCAGCAAGACTACTGCGTCCGTGTTGCACGTGACACATACCCACTTTTGGTCTGACTTGCTGAGTTTGTTGTAAGCAGTTGCTGTCAGATTTGTGCATGCTTCGTGAAACCAACCTTTGCAGTTGTCACACTGCATGCCAGTTGTGACAGCAAAACGGCATCCCGGACGTTTGCATGAGTTTTTCATGACGGTGTTGAAGCAAACTATGTTATAGATGCTGGCAAAAGCTTAAGACCTTTTTAAAAAAAAACTAAAATGCACACTGAAAACGGACAAAAACGGACAAAACGAGTGATATAAACTGAAACTAGTCTATACGTGAAAATCAAAAAAACCGAATAGTAAGCTGAGGCAAAACCACAGGTAACTATTAAATATAGTGAAACTCAAAAAAAAGTAATCTACCGAACGTATAGCTCAGGATAGATTTTTTAGAACTGAAATGGTACTTTTGTTGCGTAAGAACACAGCAAAAGTTTGATATATGCAAATCACGTTAGGACTAAACTTCCCGTTCGGAAAATGCGCGCAAGGCAGAAAGTTGTACCTAATACGCATTCTAATTTCAGACCAAACTGGTGAACTCATGAGTACCAAATCTAAAGGAAGTGCGTAAAATGTTCCTAATGAGTCCATGAACAGACAAGTAAAACTTCAAAAATTACAGTTGTAAAAAGTACAATGAAATGTTCAAAGAAGCCTTAAATAAGGTTGCCACAGGTTAGAAGATTACAGTTGTCTCCTTAGGAATGTCTTCACAATTCATGGATTTTATTGTAGGCTTTCATCAGCTTAATCTTTTGAATTGTCGTCAAGTGTTACAAACCACCATGGATACACAATATGTTAAATATAAAACATTTCCCAGTGACTAAACTCGTTATATGTTACTTACTGATAGTGATTGCAGATGTTTCATATCTCATTACTCAAACAAGCACAATCTGAGCATTTTCTTTGTTTCTTCCAGTGGCTTTCAAATCTGTGGGTTGCAGCCATCCCGGTAAATTTAATCCACCGTCTGTTATTTGTTATAAGATCCCAGAAATTGTTTAGGGATTCTCTAAAAGACTGTATTCACATAATTTTCATAGTCCATATCCTGTAACACTTTTTGCTTGAGTTTTCTGTTTATTTTTAGTGATCTTTTACACAGTAATCTTATAATGTTGAAATAGTAAATTTTCTAAGTCTATCTACAATTCGCGTAAGTAGAACTTTAGCTCCCATTATGGTATTTTATCTTCTGTCCACTAGATACAAGGTTAATTGGTCTGAACATATAGCTGCTAGTTAACACAGTCCCCCTATTTTGGGGAAATCCTAAAATTTTTGGGGTTTTGTGCTATTTCGCCAAAATTTTCTATAGCGGCTTCCGCAAAACAGATGAAATTTCCTTCACATTAGGGAGCTCTGAAAGTAACAGGTACCGATCACATTGGTCCACGCGTAAATATGTTCACTAAAAGGCTCTAATATTTCTGGATGTGTTGTTTATGTTTGTACCAGCGTGAAATATAGCCTAAAGCTGATGACGGTGACTTCCCAAGGGCTATAAACGTTCATACATCTGCTTGAGTAGGCTGGAACCCGGATATATTCTGATAAGCAGAAAATCATCTAGCTTCTTCAGGGCCGAATCAAGTCACCAAAATCGATCATTCGGTAGCGTGTGCAAATCCAAGCCTGGCTTTGATCATACAGTCTTGTGACTTGTCGCAGAACTGTTATGTGCATTTGCCCAACTTTCATGTTTCTCGCGATATAAGTGTTTTCTGAGTCTCAACCTCAGAAAGTTGGTTGCATTGGCAACTAATATATTTAGAGGGAAAATGTTGCATTTCGGATCATAGTAAATCCATATTCATCGTAGAACTCACAAATTTAAAAGAATGTGACCGTGCTTTTGTTTACAACATTTCTAGGCTGTTAAGTTGTCGTTCCTCATCAAATTTTCCTCAACAATCAAAGGTGGACAAAGTGAACCCCAAAACTACCTTAATCTTTTTGTTTCCTAAGATGGGGAGGAAATTAACTTTTTGGTGTGGATACTAGAGGTCTTTGTTGCTGGTCATTGCTTTTGCATTTAGTTTCAGATTTTGATTGTTGGACTGAGTTAAAGTTAGAACCTATGTCCCACATCAATTTTTCTGTCATGTCGTTGATAAACAGTAGCTTGGTGGGTAAACTTTTAGGTTTTTGATTCGTAGACTTCTTTTTCAAACATTCGTCTCTGCTTCACTACCAACACACAATCAGCACTACTAACCCTCACACATTGACCCGAAACAAGGAAATATGCCCTTTTTCGTATCTGAATGCCACTCTTAAGTGAGCTTAAATCTTACCAGTGAGAGATTCTCCTGCGGTAAGGGTTTTTTACAAAGCCCCGTCACTACGATTTTTTCATGCTTGGCAATCCATTTCGACTACTATTCATGCTTCTATGCCGTTTATGATCTACTCAGTTTTACTGGAATGCTAATAAACATTAAGTTATTCAAACCGAAGTCAGGTTGGTCACATCAGTTTCTATATCATTATCATACTACAAATTTGTTTTGTATGTACTTTTACAATCATTGATCCTACTAGTCAGTAAATTATTATTGTGCTTCCATGCTTCGGGCATCGCCTTTATAAGTCCAACTAGTAGTCCTAAACTGTAGTATATAATAAAATCTGCAGACTGCTTGTCAGTAAATTTGTCATGTTAGTTTCTGAATTTATGATCCATATTCTTTGTTTTAACCGTGTAGTCGATAATAAACTCAAATGAGTCTAATCCATGGTTCTTCTTTGAGTTCTATTATGTTAATGTTCAGTCGCGCTAGTTGCAGCTTTTATTCTACTAAAGACTAAGAACTACATTTCAGAGTTCCTCACGTTGTTGCTAGATAATAAAAAATATCCGTACATCAACTCAATATTATGTCTCTAGCGTCCCAGTCACATGTTGATATCCTATCTGGCCAATATTGTTCACTAGTCGTCCTATAATCAGTGTGTTGTTTTTAAAGAAGCAAAACATTTATCAGCGTTTAATCAGTCATCATCGTTCCATCTTTCAGTTTCACCATTTGTTTTTGGTTTTACTAATTCCTGTAGCACATTTCTTGCACCAATTATTTCTTACCATCTTGCTAACAACCGACCTCACAGAGTTTTCGTACAACAGTTAGTTCAGGCAAATATTTTAGTACTTCACCTATATTTCACTGCATGATATTCGTAATACCAATTTATTAAGAAACGGGAATTTTCACCACGAACTTGTAATGACCGAGCTAGTCCCCTCTTTAAATACGCACTTGACGTCCAAAAACTGGGACAAATCCATAACTTCAGGACTATAAAAGTAGTGGTTTTTTATTTCTTACAATCAAATAATAAGGTCTCATTTCGTTTGTGATAAACATTAAATATCAAAATGTAATCGTAACGTGACTAAGTAGTATTTTAACTTCATTTTCTTTTATTTACCTAGCTGATGGATGAAGAACTCAATGATTCTGATATATCATTAGATGATTCAGTACATTCAGGTGAAAACGATGAACTTGTGAATTTGTTAGATGTTCCATATACCACTACTGAGTCGCGTGAAGAGGATTCCCTAGAATATGAGGTAAATGTAAAAAACTTGATTGCTTCCACTAAAAGTTTAGTATTATATTTGTTTAAACACAAAATGTTGGTACAAATTGAAATAAGATGAAACAAATTACATAATGGGGTCATCTTATTCTTGATAGTAACCGTAGTTGGTACACATGTATCGTTCTAAATTAATACGCTTCACAGTGATATCAACACAGTGATATTGAATCGACAAATTAGAAAGCAGACAATTGAAAACATCATATTCAACAGTAGTGAGAGACAAAACCAAAAAATGTAGTCGATGAACAACAAATAAATTCGGTAAATAAAAGGTATGGAATAATGCCAAGCCCAAGATTCGGAGGAAGATAATCGGTCATTGTACATGTTTTCCTAAGACTGATTTAGGAAAACTACGGTATTCAGCCACAGATTACGGTTATCTCGTGAATAGTGATCAATAAACTTGTACGTTACTGTACATTAGAGACCAAAAGTTGTATATGTACTTTGTTCACATGAACCAAGTTATTTTGACAATCAGTATTCCTCGAATAAAATGTTAAATGTTTTTCAGCTTGATACACTTCATTGGTGCCAATTTCGTAGATGTCCTTTCTTTTAAAAAGATGAATTATACATACCTTAAGCTATTTCATTCATTGCAAATATTACTATAGTTTACTGTCATTTTACTAATCCTATCCAACTAGATATTACATCCCAACCAATTATCACAGTTGATGTCTGATATTACCAAAGAAGTTGAACAAATAATTCAGATTCCTCCGACTTATTTACGACTATTACTTGCTCATTTTAAATGGGATAAAGATGCATTGATGGAATTTTATTTTGAACATGGAAAAGCAGATACATTTGCTCAAACAGGTATTTTAGACCCTATGGATATCCCAGGTAAGATGTAATTACTCAGTTTTGATCTGACATTCTCATATACCCTATCGTCATTACGTTAAAAACGCTGTAGTCCGGTGGCTAAGTGATTAAAGTACGTGACCTCCAATCACAGTTTGACATGTTCAAACCGTGATGTCCTTACACATGCATTTGATTTATGTTTCAAGGGGTCATCTAGTCATTATTTTTATTGATTTTAGAAACTATATGCTGCTCTAATATCTAAAATAAAACAGGTATTCTGTACTTTAGTGACTTCATTGTAGTTTTGTTCTGTCTATTTTAATAGTATTCTATTAGGACTATCAATAAGGTTCAAGACAAGTGTTACATCTTATTTAAAACTTATCAGCTAGATATACTTAACTCGCACTAATTCCGGTCATTGATCCATGTATATTTGTAACGCTCACCACAATCCATCAGAGGTTCAGTACAGCAGAAATATAACCAAATCTGTCAACCAAAATCCTTCACTTTAAAGCTGTCGTTTTTCTGAACTGTACTAGATGATAAGTGTTTAAATAGTTGGTTCCGTTTCGAATTTCCTGTCGGTATGTCTCAAATATTGTAGACTCTGCCAATATTTTGGTAGCAACCATTTTCTAGATATTTTCTGGAATAAGTTGAAATGCTTTAATCAATAAGTTGGTGAATAAAATTATAGTTTGCAGTTTTTTAAGAATACGTTCTTGATACCACTTCATCTTGTTTCAGAATGTAATCAATAACGGCATCCATGCTTTCATAGCAAAAGAGTCAGTGTAAGGAAGGTAAATTATACGTCTTGTGCATCTAAATACTTCTTACTAAACAAACTATTCAATCTGACGCCTATAAATTTTGATACGATAGACTACTGAAAAAATACCCCACACAAATAAGGTTATATGATTGTGAAGAAATAAAAACTGAGAGGGCAGTATGACCAATAAATAAATGAATGCTAATAGTATGTAATAAGAGATCAAGTTCGATTAAAAAACATAACCAAGAAAGATCATTTGTGAAACTCCATTTCACTTGTGTAAAGACTCGAATAGTACGCCCTGGTATGGCCGAGAGCGGGGTGGGTTCGCCCTCCCTCTCGAAATACTCTCACACGGCCGCGCGTATACAGCCTCTGCCAGGGAAGTCCTACTCACTGCCTTCTCGTGGCGGGGGTGTTGTTTACGAAAATGAGAGGACGAAAAGCGAATGTCCGGCGCTTTAACCGGATTCCAAACCAATGGTGCACATGGGCACCAGTATCCTGCGGGAACAAATGACGCATGAACCAATCGTTGGTCACCGGCTACCATGGGACTGCATCTCCTTACGATGCTCCACTGCCTTGTGGGTTAGACCTTTAGGTCAAAGGCTCGGGGTGTGGCCCCTTAAGAGAACCACCTGCTTCGGTCTGGGCACCCGGGCAGTAACGCAGCCCACACGCAATTAATGAACTGAAATTGTGTGGCGCATATATGTTTGGCGCACTCCTGTACCAATGTATATGTGTTCAAATAAAATAAAATATAAACTGGCAGCATCACCACTGACCATATGGTAGCATTATAAACCATATCTGGTAATGTATCAACCAACTGAACTGCACTACCGTCTGGCCTAAATCAGGCAGTCATAATGGATTGACAAGTCCCAGTCTTATACATCCAACTATCACATCACTGCAACATGTGATAAGCTGACCACCTCTTCGCTTTTTCCATCTAGTTTTAGCACTGGAAAATAACGGGCAGTGTAAGAGTTACTGGTATAGGATTTGTGGAATGACCAAGTAAGCACTGCTAAGGTTCATTCAGTCAACAACGTAAAACTTCGTACGTACGTACATCATTTCGAGTTCCCATAACTGCTAAGGTTAGGCATAAAGCACTAGGCTAATGTAGGTAGGAAACCAAGTTGATAAGATTTTATATTTTCATCGACTGGGGTGGTTATTATGTGTGTCACATATCCCTAACCACAACCTACCCTTACTGGCAACGCTTGCTGGCGTATTAGGTTGATAGGAAGGTAGAGGCAGCCAAACCTATGACACTGCGTTAGCTCATGAAGTCGCAGACTGTTCATCTGAGTCATGGTAGATTCGAACTACTTGACTGTGCTCTGCTTAATAACGGCGATTAGTTGTTTGAGACTTTGAGTGACATGTCCCAGAAACGTTCATAGTAGTGTAGACGCATTCTCTCTTAATCTTCTTGATAGTGAATTCTAGTTTTCCTTCACACATACTTTTCAAATGTTTGTTCAAACCATATTTCCAAGGTTTAGTCCTTTTTATCATTGCTAATGTTTTGTGGCAACTTGGGTCAACGCATATCTGTACCAGGCCAAGCTCTATATTGTTACTACTTGTGTAACTGTTCGTTTGGTGCTAATTATGTAGTCCATATTTAATAAACGAACAGTAGATGATAATAAAAATGTTCCTAACTATATTATCACTTGAAATCATTAAAACAACCTTTTATTAGGATTTGTGGCATATGTAATCTTTATAAATTCTATTTTTAGTGACAGGATCAAGGAATTTGTGTGAAAAGAAAAACGAAATTGTTTGTGATATATGTTTCCTACCAACTACTCCAAGTAAGATTTTTCATTATCAATGTGAAATATTGAGAGCTTATGTGTTAACCGTCGATATAAACATTTATCTTTTCTTCATTTGGAATTTTACATGTCTGATAACTTGTGAAGAGAGCTGTAATATGTCGTGCAATTTTGTTTGGTCATATATATATTCGCCATCATATTACCCTATATCAAATATTTTAAGCCAATTGTCAGAAGATTCCAGACCCGTGTTTCTTGCTAGTATGGACTAAATTTCACTGATATCTACAAATTATGTAGATGCTCTTGTTTCACCTAAGGGTGGGACATATCTAATCAGAGATATCTTACGTTTAAACTACATTTTATATCACGACTTTTAATATACATATAACTTAACCCAAATCCGGTGGATAGATGAAATTCCCTTTAATCACCTTAAATTAATCAAAACTATCATTCCAATTACACCTTACAGGTTTTGATACTTAAAAAATGTATTCCAGTCAATAATATTTACTGTTCACTAAGCTTAAAACTGACAAATCATTGTTTTCTATCAAATTAATTCATTGGTTCACGATAGCGTCATATCAGATGATAATTGTTTTAGAGTTGTTTATAATTAAGATGTCCTAACCTTTTTCTCGTGTTTGAAAAAATAACTGACATGATACTCAATCAATCAAATTCGATCAGCACTAGAGAAGGACTATATATATTTCGTTTATAAGTCATTCATATTAAAAATAAAGTGGAAAATGACCAATACAAGCTATGTTGTAGTGTAATTCAATTCCAAATGGTTTGGATTATTCCATTGTTAATATTTTGGCTGTTTTCATCACCATATATGCGTCCTATGCGGATTGCTTGGACGTATCTCCTAACTCAAGTTTGTGTGAATTCTTCGAAGGGCAGTTCAGCTGGCCTGCTGCTCCGACAACATCGGTCAGACTGTCCTGCCCCCCATGGCCAGTGACGACTGATCCACCAATTGAGGCGGAAGTCTGCAAGAAACTCCAACTCTTGAAGCGCTACAAATCACCTGGCCCAGATGACTTACCTCCGGCCCTTTTTAAAGATGGTGGTGACTTTCTAACTAAGGAACTGACAACATTGTTTACAAAAGTTTGGGCACTAGAGAGTTTACCAACGTCATGGAATGAGTCTGTAGTTGTCCCCATCTTTAAAAAGCGTTCACGTCGTTCCTGTAATAACTATCGGAGGATAAGTCTACTTCCGATTGCGTCCAAACTATTGGCTTCCGTCATACTTCTTAGGTTGTTCAAAACTCGAGAAAGATTGACTCGCGAGGAGCAGGCTTGTTTTCGTTCCGGTCGAGGATGTATTGATCATATCTTCACCCTCCGCCAAATGTTAGAACACCGCCATACTTATCAAAGGTCAACAATCGTAGTGTTTCTTGACATCAGGGCTGCCTTCGATTCTTTGGACAGGACTGTTCTCTGGGATTGTCTATTGAAGAAGGGTGTGCCTTAGAAGTTTAATAACATCCTAAAGGCCCTATATACAACCACCTTCCTCCATTGTTCCATTCAAGCAGTGAGATTAGACAAGGTTCCCCAATCTCACCATTCCTCTTCAACTTTGCTATCAATGACATTCTAGAAACAGCTCTGATGAATGTAAGTAATGGTGGTGTGGATCTGTTGCCTGGAGAAAGACTTCTCGACCTTGAGTATGCGGACGATATTGTCTTATTGTGCGATAATGCTCAAGCCATGCAATCCGCACTTAATCAGTTGGCAATCAGTGTCCGTAGGTATGGTATGTGCTTTGCACCTTCGAAATGCAAAGTACTTCTACAAGACTGGCAGGATTCTAATCCTGTACTCACCCTGAATGGTGAGCAGATAGAAGTAGTTGGGAGGTTCTTGTATCAAGGTAGCTGCATAATTGTTGGTGGGGGTGTGAGTGATGAGATCAATGCACGTATAGTGAAAGCCAGAGCGGCTTATGCCAATCTGGGCCATCTATGGCGCCTTCGTGATGTTAGTCTGGCTGTAAAAGGCTGGATCTACAACGCGTCGGTGAGAGCAGTTTTGCTCTATGCTTGTGAAACCTGGCCTCTCCGAGTTGAGGACGTTAGACGACTCTCTGTGTTCGATCATCGCTGTCTCCGAAGGATTGCTGACATTCAGTGGCAACACCATGTCAGTAATGCAGAGGTTCGGCATCGTGTGTTCGGGCACAGAGATGATAACTCAATTGGTGTCACCATCTTGAAACACCGACTTCGGTGGCTTGGACATGTTCTCCGAATGTCGTCCCAGAGAATTCCACGTCGTGCATTATTTGTCGACTCTGGGACTGGTTGGAAGAAGCGAAGAGTTGGTCAGTGTATGACATGATGTCGAGGTATGGAAGAAAGATGCAAAGGACTGGCTTCTGTTGGTTCTTCATGACTCCCTGGCTGGGGTTTGAGATATAGTGCAACACAGTGGCTAAAGAGACGTTATCAGATATGGTTCAGAATAGAAGCCAGTGGCAATCCTGCTGTAACCTTCTTTTACTTTCTTCATAAAAAGTGGTTGTATCTTCCTTAACTGGAAGATTTCTTCTGGTTTTACCTTTCTGTTTCCCCCATTATTATTACTATTATTATTATTATTATTATTATTATTATTATTATTATTATTATTATTATCATTATTACACTACCTTACACTCATCTGGTGGTTATTGTTCTTTTTTTCTCGTCGAATTTTCATTTTGTGTGGTGCATATATATTTTGTGCCCTCTTGTACCAATATTTATGTGTTCAAATAAATAAATAAACTCAAGTTTATGTAGAATAAATTGAATGTGTCCAGCAGTGGGACCCAGAACGCGCACTTCTTCCGGTTTGAAACACTTCAGATCGATGTACCTGCATCCCGGAGTTCAACTTTTACCGGGAGATTCACTTGGTGACTTAGAATATGCCGATGGCATAGTGCTATTTGGTGATAACGCTGACAAAATGCACGGTCTTCTGACCACTATAAGCAACAATGCAAGCATGTTCGGGATTCGATTCTCCCCTTCGAAATGCAAAATATTGATTCAGGATTGGGTTGCGTTGACACCCGTACTAATGTTAGGGAGTGGAGTAGTTGAGCGTGTCGACCACTTCACTTATCACGGGAGTTTCAGCAGCCCTTGTGGTCTGGTATGTGACGAAATCTCAGCACGGATATAGAAGGCTCGACTAGATCTTGCCAACTTGCGTCATTTATGGCATAGGCGAGATATCCGTCCACCAACTAAAGGACGCGTTTACTGCGCAGCACTTCAATCCGTCCTACTTTATGGCAGTGAAACATTGCCGGTAAGAGTAGAGTATATTCGAAGGTTACTAGTATTTGATCATAGGTGTCTTCGAAGCATTGCTCGTGTATCCTGGGACCACCGAGTAAGTAATACAGTTATTAGAAAACGGGTACTAGGTAAGAGAGGCAAATCAATGGATGAAGTATTGAAACTTCATCAGTTAAGATGGCTGGGAGACGTGCTACGTATGCCCAACGACCGACTACCTCGACGTGCGATGCTTTATGGTGTACGAGTAGGTATGGAGAAAGCTAGTGGCGGCCAGACCAAAACATAGCACAAGTCCATGAAGTCACTGACAAGTGGACTGAGCCATGTTGTTAGGCGTAGGCTACCTGGTTGGGATCCGCGCGATGATAGCAACCGATGGTTACAGATTTTGAATGACATGGCTGAAAATCGTTTGCGCAGGTGCGTCCACTCTTTGTGTTTTCCCAAATTCTAGTCTTCTGAATTCTTCATGTCCCTTTTTTTCTCTTTCCAAATTTATTTCACTGGATTATACTCCTTGAATAACATTTTCAAAGCCTAGTCTTTCTGATTTCTGTTTATACTTTTACCACCTCTACCACTATGGGATTTGGATCGACAACTGCATCTCTGTGCAACTCGAGCTGATGTGCGAAGTTCTACGTTGTTGCTGACTGACTCACTCAGTAATTTAAATGACAGCATATTATTAACTAGGCTACTGAGTCCAGTTAGCCACTCACTTGTGTAACGAGTGTAAGTTTTAATTCAATTTGAAATGGATTTGACTATCTCTTTTATATTTTGCATTTGAGTCCCTCAGTGAACGTCAACTCTAGGATGCAGGCACATTCATCTGAAGTGTTCAAAATAAATCGAAACGCCTATCCTAGATTCCACTGCTAGCTATTTAATAGTGTACCTTTTTCTGTTAATAAGTAATTAACATTCTATGTGTAATTATGATGGGTGTATTATATTTGTTCAAGTTATATATCGACTTTTCAAGAAAAATGACTTACAGTACAAATTGCAATGTGAATAGATATCTGTTTATTGTAAAGCATAGAATAGTACTGATGTTAGAATAGAAAGTGTAAACTACTAATTGTTATATAATCGATTCGTCGATTTTATTAGTTAAAGTGTTTGCACATGATAAACCTATCATTTGACCCTTGTTATTCTTCTCTCTAGTGAAAATGTAACAATATTTATGCTGTAAAAGAAAAATCATATTTTCCTAAATGTTCACTTTCAGTCCACCAATTACGTTATTCTAACTATTATTATATACATCATATGATTTTATGATCATCAACAGACTTTCACTAATTTACTTTGAAAAAATAATCAGCTGTTCATTGACTATTCCTTATACGACAATTTATGGCACTAAAAACGTATTCATTTAGTTGATTTTTACTTAAATGTGTAAGTGATTTTGTCCACATTTATTTATTCTGGACATTGTATGATTCCTTGTACGGGTTCTTACGGTGTAGGTAACTCATGTGGCTAAAGGCTTTTGTTCATCAACTCGTACTGTGGTTTTTTCATTCCGTTTTATTACTTGATTCTCTTGTCTTCATGAATACTTGTGGTCAATGAAGATTATTCCTATGAATAAAAATGATTTATCAAACGCGGTTAATTGTGTAAAGATTTTCTAAGCTGAATTCCAAAACAGGTTATCTGCTTAACTACTGTAATTTTCATATGAATAAATATATCAAAGATCAAATAGTTCCAGTGGATTGTTATGGCTTGTAATATTCACGGCCTTATGTTCAACGAATATTGTACTGATCAATAAAAATGCAAGCCTCCTTGTAACCAATAAATTAGTTATAAACTGATTGCTACTTTTGAGTTATTTGGTCATATAAAAATAGCATGAACCTAGGAATAACTATACCAAGCTATCCAAATAAAAATATTCGTGTTTTTCATTTAAAACCATAAGAGGATAGTCACAAATTGGTCTTCTGTACTACCCGAGGCAATACCATATGTGCTACTGACTGCACAATCAATTTCATAGACTTCCATCAGGGTTTGTTTATTTTTATTTCTCATCATTATTGAATTTGCAGTACAGTTCAACATTTAAACTTAAATGTTTAGAAAGCTGGGTATGGCTTTGTGTATGATATTAAGTGAAATAATTAGAGATCAAATATTTCAAATCTGTTACAGTTTGCAGAATAGAGAATGTAGTTGGTCTGTAATATTACTTCGCTAAATTGACAAATGCTCTTGGATAAGACAAAGATCATACTTAAGTAAATGACTCAGAAATCAATGTAAGGTTTAACTTAAATAAACTGCTCAAATCTATCAATAAATGTTATCCACCATTAAAACATAGTGTGACTATTAAAATTCGTTAGTTTTGGAATCTTCGTAAGTTTTCTCAAGTCACTCGACACCATAACTTCCAGTAGTCAGAAAACGTCCGAAAATTTGTTCGATTTAATCTCTCGTTGCTTTCCTATATTTAGGTCAAATGTTTGGATTGTCTTGCGCTCACTACTTTTGTTTAACTTGTTGGCAGCGTTATCTTAAAATTAAAATAATGGAAGAAAGTCAAATTGACCGAATTTATTGTCCTTCATCCAATTGTCGTATAATTGTTGAAGATGAGGTTGTGTTTCAAATGATTACTGATCAAAATGTACGCAAGCATTTTCACAAGCTGATATCTAGTAGTTTTGTTCTCCATAATCGTGCATTAACTTGGTGTCCAGGTGTTAACTGTGGACATGCCGTGCGTTGCTTTGGTCCCCGAGAACCATATCAAATCACTTGTACTAACTGTGGTGAATGCTTTTGTTTTGCCTGTGGTCAACCATGGCATGATCCAGTTCGCTGTGAACAGTTAAGAACATGGATTAAAAAGCTTGAAAATGATAGCGGTACGCTTGGCTGGATTGCAGCTAACACTAAAGAGTGTCCAAAATGTCGTGCAACTATAGAAAAAAATGGTGGTTGTAATCACATGACCTGTCGGAATGTTGATTGTAAGCATGAATTTTGTTGGATGTGTCTAGATCGATGGGAGCCCCATGGATCACGATGGTACACATGCAATCGTTATGACGACTCCGCTGCTAAATTGGCTAGAGAAGCTCAAGCTAGTTCAAGGTTATCACTTGATCGCTATCTTTTTTATTCAAATCGTTATTTAAATCATATGCAGTCGTTGAGGTTTGAGGCACGTCTATATGAAACAGTGCAAAGTAAAATGGAATCAATGCAAGCTCATGGAACATCTTGGATAGATGTTAAATTTTTCAAAAAATTAGTTGAAATTCTTTGTCGCTGTCGAAGAACACTCATGTATACTTATGCTTTTGCTTATTTCCTAAAAAAAAACAATCATTCATTGATATTTGAAAGTAATCAAAGTGATTTAGAACAATCTACAGAACAGTTATCGGAATATCTAGATCGTGATTTATCTAATATCAATTTAAATGAATTAAAACAGAAAATGCAAGATAAAGCCAGATATTGTGAAAGTCGCCGAAATGTTCTTTTAGATCACGTACATGAAGGTTATGATAAAGGATTTTGGGAGCAATCTGACACTTGTTAGTGTTTGCGTAGATGTATGTTCATCCATCCACACGCACATAGACTACCACAGTCTTCGTTTCCATGTGTATAGTTCCTATTTTTGAATCACTATGATCTCGTTGATATCAATTTTTCTATTTTCCCTCGTTCATGCGTACCTCAGTAGTTTTGCTTATGTATATGCACTCTCAGTAATATCACTAAAATATAAATGATGAAGACTTAACCAAACCAGGTCATCATTATGTGTTTATAGAACTCTTTTTTTGTAACCCCAATCAGCAATTATATACTATTTGCATTCCTGAGTCTTGTCATCCTTTGCAACTTCGTTTTCTATGTTGTATTGTTTATGTATTCTTCCTTCCCAAGTCATATTTCATTTATTAATTAGTTGAATGGATTATTGTCACTTTTAGTAAAGTTCCTATTATTAAGATTACCATTGTTTTCTCGAATAACCATAGCAGCGTACAAACTGATACAGTTAAATTGATAGAAATTTTCCCATCTATTTTGTTTTGCCATGTACAGTTCTGTTTCTGCTTTTATTTATTTGTCTACATATTTGCACAACAGTTTTAAGCATGTTGACACAAATACATTTGTATAACTATTGTTCTTGTCAAATACTATGGTGAATCTGTCACCCTGGTCAACATTAGACCAGGAAAGCTGTCTTCGATTTTTGATTGTAAATTGAATATTACTTGCAAACATTCATATGTGTAACATATGCTGAAGTACACATATGACTTGCATCCCTTGTTAGGATTCTACGATTTCTTATTTGCTTTCTGCCTTCACCCATGATTTTTCATGGCCATATGAAGTACTTAGATTTTAGTTTCCGATTGCCTGGATAATTAACATTGCAAGAAAGTCAATGTTTACTCTTTGTTGAGTTTTCTCTAGCGATGTTTTTTCAACGAATTATTTTCTAGTTGCTAGCAAAGCATTTTTTGTTTCGTTAACTGTTTATAAGTAACCAAGTGAACTAAGGCTAATAATCTGGGACTTTCAGTCATAACCTTTGGAATACAGCCCAAGATGAGTGGATCGCGCTTTCTCGAGATGATTCGGATCTGGCTGTTTCCTGTAACCGAGTTTGTTGTTCTATGTCAGTTGGGTTCTCTACGGAATCCGAATTTGGCTGACGAAAGACACTCAGCCCGTCTACTGGTTACCATGATATTTTGTGGCATACAATGACTGATCTGCTTCTATCAATTAGGAATAACTTCGGGACTGGATCTTGTGAGCACATTGTAACGTGGGATATGAGGTAGTACTACAAACCTAGCATATTTGCGGCAAATATGCGGTCTTATGTATTGGCTGGGGTAATTACTTAAAAAGTTCTTCCGCGCTAGTCATATGTTTTACACACACAGGTAACATTCTACTCAGTTACAGTTGCATTGTGAGAAAATTGGTAGTTCGGCCGTATGGAGATACATTCCTCTGGATAAATAGGTTAACACACTTGTCTCTGGGCAATTACTGAGCTTTCGTTTTCTTGATCATGGCTTAAGTCCAGCTGATATGGAACCAATTTTTTAGACTAATACTAGGTGTTTGATGATTGGCTTCGAGATTTGAGATCGTTTTCAGTTAGTCATAGGAAAACGTGCAAAAACGAAAAGTAGCCTAGGTTATTGAAATTAAGTAATCTCACTCGAGCTTTAGTGAGCAGAATCACGAGGCAGTTATGGCGGGCTTTTCTGTCAGAGTTGGCAGACAAACTTTACTGTAATTTCTAGTTATATCTATTACCCAGCCGAAATCCCTATAAACCTAGCAAATTAGCTAGGCGTTTAAACACCGTCATGTCAGCAGGTTGATATGGTTGGAGGTCAGATGACTTTGCGTGTACGCAAAAGACTAGCTGAGTCTATAGCGTATTATGCATTTACACCTGCTATTTCCCCCCTCACAGTAATCCTTAATTCCGTGACATATACACTAAATATCGACAAACTGATGCACAGAAAATTCCTTGATGAGTGTCCTATCCCTGAAAACACGTGAGGTGTAAGTTTCCATTATTCACGCTAAAGGATCGACAGCAACTTGTTTTATGAGTGTCTAATTTTCTACAAGTCTAACTATATGGGATTTAGAGGAGCTAAAGGACCTAGAGCCAGCAAAACTTCATTCTTACGACCTTCTGCTAGCGGAATCTGTTATCGAGCATGTTCTATTGGACACGTCCTTGAAGATGTACCGTTGGTGCATCGCGACCTTGAAGTATTACAATCTCACTCGTCGGTAATGAGAAGAAAAAGTAAGCATTCAAAATACACGCAAAACTGAAGCCTGAAATATACGTGTTTACTAGTACTTGTCACTGTGATGCTTGTATAAACTAATGTTACCTTTGTACTTGATGGCTTCCTGATTTCGAATTCTAAATACAATATGTTCGTTTGTGCTCATTTAATTCCATTAAGCCTTTATTGAGTTATTTCGGCGAGTCCTAGTTCACATAATAATTCAAATACTTCTAAGCATTACAGTCACTTAATGATAACAGAAAAAAATGACTTTTAATGATCTAAGGAACAAATTGAGAAAATGAATCGAAAAACTTAAGGAAGTATGGTTGTGGTGTTTGGATGAACTAATGATACGTTTGTACTTGATGAATGCTTGATTTCGAATTCTAAATACAGTACATTCGTTTGTGGTTATCTATTAGTTCTTGATCCGATTACGTTATTTCTAGGATTCCTAGTTCATACTGTAATTCAAATATTACAATGGTGTCCAATTAATTAGACCGTGGAAGACGATTCTTGTATGGGTAGAAAGTGAGGTCCTCAAAATACCTTGGATGTATGCTAAACGAACGTTCTTATGCTTTAAAGCGTTATATTCGAATTAAGATATCAACTGGAAGAACCAAGACCTAGAATTTCCGCCTTCCAAAAAGCATGGCTCATTACAGTCTAAAGTAATAAGGATAGGAAGTCTATCGACTTATATTAATCCTTGCAGTTTGTTACACTGTAGAGGTTCAATGTCGTTTTAAATATATCAACAGAAGGTGCTGATATCACGTGTTCCGGTAGAGAATTCCAGTAATTCACTACTCGGTGCGAGAAACCAAACTCCATAAGTAGACGATTTGATCTCGGTTTTTGAACTTTCTTCGAATGCCCTCTCAAATGATCAGTCCTAGACGGAAGTAAAAGATAAGACATGTTAGCGAGACTAATTTAGCGACGACCTTTGAACGAATCTTAAATGACCCTAACAATTATTAGCCAATCAGAAGGCAGTTAGTATCAAGTGGAAGTATATTGTAGGTAAGTAATGAATCACAGTGGGTATGCTTCTTTTACATGATTTAAAAACTTGTTAAGGTTTGATAAAGATTCAGAGGTTCTGAATTCATAATGCATATGATATAGAAATTTGTCCATAGGGTTAGGGTCGGGGTTGTGGCCTGTCAATAAACACCTCTTCTCGAAAATCCTATCTAAACCAGTCTTCAGTAATAAGGATAGTAGGTTGATGAACCTGTGTTAATCCTGACACATTGCTTTCCAGTGAAGGTCCAGCTTCTCCTTGAAAGTATTCACTGATGGGGCTGATATCACTTGTTCGGGTAAGGCGTTCCAGTCATTGACTACTCGATGAGAAAAACGGTATCCCAATTTAAGTTCATAAGATCGTGGTTTATGAACCTTCTTGCTATGACCTCGAAGATTATTAGTGCTGGAGGGAGCAAAATGATAAGACATATTAACACCCAAATCATAATTAAAGATACGAAATGCTAGTATAAGGTCACCTCACGTCCTACGATACGACAAGGGGTAAAGGTTTAGGCATTTTAAACGCTCATCGTGAGGGAGTCTAGAAAGACCCTTCACTAATTTTGTTCCCACACGCTGGACACGCTCAAGGGAGTTAGTATCCTTTACCAGACACGGGCTAGCTGCTTGGATACAGCACTCTAAATGTGGTCTTACATATATGGGATATAAAATTCGAAACGTTTCCTCGTCAAAGTATTTGAACGCTCGTCGAAGTGACCATAACGCACGAAAACTTTTGACAGCGGCTGCTTTGCAATGCGCAGTTGTTTTTAAATCATGGCCTAATACTACTCCTAAGTCTTTATGCTCTTGAGCGCATGGAAGAGGTTTACCCTCAATAGTGTAACGGTAACTATTACCGTGATCAGTGTGCATTAGTACACTCTTCCTAGCATTGACTTCTAAGCCCCACTCTCGAGCCCATCTAACTAAATCGTCTAAGTCAGCTTGAAGATCCAGATGATCAGCCGCACTTGTTATTGTTCTCCAGATTTTTACATCATCCGCAAACAATAATGTCGACAACCTTAGTAACAGCTGTAACTCATTAATGTAGAGAAGGAAGAGCAGAGAGCCTAAGATGGTGCCTTGGGGTACACCACTTTTGACCGGCTTCCAATCAGATAGCGTTCCGTTGACCCTAACTCTCTGTCCGCGGTCACATAAGAAATTTACCATCCACGCATGTACAGTACCTATTATTCCGAAGCTCGTGAGCTTCTGCATAAGACCTAAGTGTGAAACCTTGTCAAATGCTTTGCTAAAATCTGTGAATATCACGTCGACAGACAGACCGTTATCTAGGGCTGTTGTCCAATCCTCCCTCGCAATAAGCAAGTTAGTCAAGCATGAACGCTTGTTACGAAATCCGTGTTGCTCAGGAGCTAACAGATTGTACAAATCTATGTGGCTCAGCAACCTAACCCGAATTAACTTTTCAAGTAACTTAACGACTATACTAGTTAGACTGACAGGCCGGTAGTTAGATACTATATGTCTCTGACCGTCCTTAAATACAGGACTGACTATAGCGTCCTTCCAATCTCTAGGGAGTTGAGCGAGTGAAAGGGACATGCTGAAGAGTGTGGCAAGCGGTTTTGAAATAATGTCCGCAAGAGATGACAACAGCCGTGGATGTAACCCTTCAGGGCCCTGTATTTGACCAGGTTTGAGGTTAGTTATCAACAGAAGGACAGTTCCCTCAGTCACCTGTACAGATTCAATGGTTGGTATCTCGGTGTGAGTGGGACATGTATTTGTTACAATTAACGTAGAGAAGACTTCGCTTAAATAGTTTGAAAAAGTCTCAGCTTTTGCTCGATCTGATGCAACTAGTAATTCTGAATTTTCGTATAACAGTAACGGGATAGTACCATCACTGCGTTTCATTTGCCGTTTAACATACGAAAACAATCGCTTCGGATACGTACGGCTATCATATACTAACTGTCGTTCGTAAGTGGTGCGGGATTTGACTATGGTTTTCTTACAGATATTACGGAATTTTTGGTACTCACGCTTAAATGGTGCATGACCTGTCAACAAGAATAAGTCCCAGAAATGTTTCCTACGCTTTAACAGCTTCCGTGTTTCCTTATTAATCCATGGAGAGCAATGTGATAGCTTACGTGCTGACCATGGGATAAACGGCAACGTTACGGACTCGAATGTAGCCTTAAACTTATTTCATTCATCTTCGATCAATCCATCCGCGTCGACCGACCAATCAGTCGAGATAGCACAGTTTCTGATTGCCGGAATATTAGCTCGCCAGATATTGGGACGGGGTGGAGTAGATACGAATTGTATACCATATGTCCTAAACTTAAAGTGAATTACAACGTGATCACTGTTCACTAGTGGAGGAAAGTGCTGGATATCAAAAACATCCTCACAGTGGTGGGTGAGGGCGAGGTCCAGCAGTGACGGATCATGATTGAAATCAATATGTGTTGGTTTTGTGATAGATTGTACAAGTGCACACTGAATAACGGTAGATAAAAGGTCGCTATCGAAACCACTACATGAAGCTGTAAGCTCTATCCAGTTGATATGCGGTGCGTTGAAGTCCCCAATGATGAGACAACATTCTGCCATACTCCAAGAACAGATGTGCCTTAGG